TTTTGAGTCGGCAGAATGTTGTTAATTATGGTTCCTAAGCTATCACTCCAGTTCAATTACATTTTTAAACTTCAAAACTGAATCACCAATCAATCCTGGTCACTATTTTAAAGTTTTGATATGGCAGAATGTTGTGAATTATGGTTCCTAAGCTATCACTCCAGTTCAATTACACTTTTAAACTTCAAAACTGAATCACCGATCAATTCTGGTCACTATTTCAAAGTTTTGAGTCGGCAGAATGTTGTGAATTATGGTTCCTAAGCTATCACTTCAGTTCAATTACACTTGCAAATAAATACTTAATAAATAACAAAAATGAATACTTACTGATTGGACGATAGTCTGCTGCCACTGATCCGCAACTCTCCGCTCCAATCGGTTAATCTGGTGTGCTTGACATTTTGCTAGAAAGGGTAAACCCGGTTAAATGTAATCTGTCACAAAAGGTAAGAAAGGCGTGATCAGAAGTCAAAACTAACATCCTAAGCTACCATTCTAGTTGTGGTTGAAAACGAAGAGACACTATGTAACAAAACTAGATGGCCGAGTGGGCTAAGCTGTCACCATTTGAATAGACGGTCAAGGGTTCGAATCCCAGTGTCAAATAGCTAAAGATATGTGGATCTACCTTACAATGTACAAGTTACACAGTAAAGTGTTATTTTTCTTAGGTGGGGTTGTTTGAAAATGAAACATGTAAATCCAAAATCTGTTATGTCTCACAAAACTGTGGTTCAACAGACCAAGAAATTTAAACCTTATATCCGAACGACGTCCAAGACCCTGTACGTCATGTACAAATTCATTACAATCTTATATGTTTTAGCCTAATTTATATTTCTTAGTTAAGTTAAATCTTGAACAGGCCAGCAACAACTGAATACGGTAATGTGATCGTTTAAGTACAAAGAAAAACAGTGCAATTGACAGTGATAAGAAAGTTAGCGTTGCAAAGATTCAAGAGTCGCAGGAATGATACAAATCATACGTGTCATGATCCAACGCGAATGGCGAAACAAAATTGCGTTGGCACTTATATTTCATATCCCAATGTCTTGCGCGGCGTAAGATTGTATTTATGACGCGCACAAAATTTACAGCTTTTTGCACTTAAAAAAATTTTTTTCCTAACATGATCAAAAAAAGTTATGAACAATTTTATACACCTTTTTTGGCTCATATTTTTGCGATTTTTCCCAACTTTTTTTGCTCTGACACGTACCATTTTTTACAGTTTTCTTCAATTTTTATCAAACCTTCACTATTCATTTATTTAAACATTTTATTTCATGTTTTACATTCCACTTTTGCCGAAACTTTCATAAGTGTTTCCAAAAACTTATTTTGCTATCGCAAACCCCGAATGTTGCCAATTGTACGCGGAAAAGGTCCCTACTCCTTCTGGCGCGGTGTTTCATTTCTGTTTCCAAAACGGTGAGTCACGTGGCTAATGTTTAAAACTTTTAAACAAGATAGGTTAACAAATGCCAAAATTAAGCCACTATCGTCAAAAACACTATTATTTTTGTTTACCAATATCCTCAAACTTAAATGAACGTGTCCATATATTTTTATATCATTCTTAAACTGCATAAACATTTAAAAGTATGATGCAAAGGAATGGCATTTTTAAATTTATCGCATGCCGCGCCACACAATTTGATTGTCATACGTTGTATGACCCGCCGCGCACGAAGTGCGCGGCTCCCCCTGTATCGTCAGGACGATAAAGTGACCGATATAGTGAACAATATAGTGAAACGACCGTGGGGGTCGCAACGTGATACAACGATTTGACGGATGTTACTCCTCTAAATTTCTTCGAAGTAGCGCGCGCCGGGCCAGACCATTAACAATGGTCATTACACGATTGGATATATTAATTTTAGTACGTGCGCGGAGCGTAAAAGTTTCAATCTCAAAGTTTAGTTGGATAAGATCGAGCGCTATACAGGCAAATATACTTTGAGAGAAGTTTGATCTTCAACAAACTACAATTTTGTGTGTTAAACATATTCGTAGTCTTAAATCTTAACATTTATTTTGTTACCAGTTGACATTAATTGATCAATTTTAAAATTTTAAGATGACAACTCGTTTGGTAGGTAGGAATTTGGATCATAAATTGCAGATGCCAAATGACTCAAATAGCTTTTTTAAGTGCTGAGAAAGGTGCAGTAAATGGAAACTAATTCCGAACTGTGAAAAAAAACAAAACAGAGTGCATAATGATCGCACCAACATCCTCACCTGCACCTGATGTCACAACCTTCAGATCGTTAATTATTGGCAACAGACCCATAACCTATACATATCAATCAACTGTTCTCGGATTAACAATCGACAACAAGCTTGCATTCAAGGGTCACGCAAATTTCAAACTCAAGCAATGCTGGTTTGCCTGGCACAGGATCACCCAAAACTCCACCCGCCACAGAGGTCTGAATGCAAGCTCACTCAGAATGCTCTTCAGAACAGTGGTACTCAAAAACTTCTATATGCTGCTCCTATATGGCTAAAAGATAACCTCTATACTTTCAAAGACTTTTATGCCAGGGTCCTCTTGAAGATAAGCGGGGCCACTCACCATCCTCCCAAAGATTTGACCTCTGTTGCGCTTGGGATTCCACCCCTTGAGATATCCTACAAGATGGTCACTATAAAATGTATAATAAAAGCACTTATAAATGACCCATTTATGCAAGGGCTCATCTTGCAGCTAGAGGAGGCAAAGGCCCACCGATACCAGCACCATATTGACGAGATACGTAAGTTTCTAACGTGGAAAACTTGGTCCAACGAACTAAACAGAAGCAAAATAGACCTTCTGACTAGTGTCCAGAACGGTGCTGTCAGCTACTCAAAAGAAGAAATAACCCGCTTCATGGAATTTACTTGGAATAAACATCTCCTGCTGAACCCCAGAATAAATCAGGGTCAGATACTGGATAACATTGATGAAAGAAGCAAAAAACTATTTCCTCGCTACTCAAGCAGAATCACAGACACGAAGGTTATGTCTCTCCTACATGGCCATGACATCACCTTTGCAGCCTTCCAGGCAAGGGTGGCCAACAACTGCGACCCTCAGTGTCCAAATTGTAAGGTATTGGACACCAATTATCACAGACTCTTCTTCCGTCCACTGTGCAGCTGCTCTTACAGGGAAACCCTGCAGGAGCATTCCTCTAATGACCAACCATCATGGTCTATCTTAAGAGATGATAGTGATAACAGCATCACTGCCTTCCGCTCTCTAGCACAAATTGCTATTGGTGAACTATCATAAGATGATTATCATAGTGCTCTCCCTGCCCTTCTCCTTGTGACTTTTCTTCTCCTTCAGCCTCTACCACTCACTAGTCACTCTACTGCCTCATCTTCTGGATGTCATTATCTTTAGTTTAGTTGAGGATTCTCAACACCCACTTTCAAGTCGAGTACTCTCGACCCACTTAGTCCACATACCTTGCAAACTTACAGCACGGTATTTGTAATGGTCTAAGTTCCTAATACGCGCCAAAGATGGTTCCACTAGTCAATCGTAGGAGGAGAGAAAGCTTAACAACAAATTAGGTGGCTGCATTTTGTTTTGATTTTATTAGGTCTTAGTATTTATCCCCATTTATCCCCATTGTTTTAAAGTTTTAAGAGAACTCTCCTTAAATTATTTTAATGCAGTCACTCAGATAAGTTTATACCAGGACACTTCAACAAAGACACATACTCTGCCCTCAATAAGGGGCCATAATTGTTTCAATTATGTAACTGTATAGAAAATTTATTATTATTATTGCTTTAGAATTTTTATTTAAATTTTGAATTGCACTGATAAAAATGTATGATTGAGACGAATCTTCGAGTAGTTCACTACTATATAGTAAAAAAGCTTATTTTAAATTTCGTTAGCATATCCAATATTCATGAGTTTATTATCGGATGTTTAAGTTTTTAACTATGTTTATTATGATATTATTATTCATTGTAATATGACAATAAAATTTAAATTTTGTTTTACTTAAAATTTTGTTTTACTTATCACCCTGTGTTGTTCCTTCCTCAGATTTATTAACGATTTAAATTTAAGTCACAATTTAAATATAAGTTATATGTATATCTGTTTTGTAAATTTACTGTAACTTTGGAGACTGGGCGCAGTAATGTCCCAGAGGGTTTGTAACATCATGGATACTGACTAAGCTTACCTGATCCTCTCCAACTTGTATTAGTACACTACTTTATTCACACCTGTCATTTCACTACATTAAACTGATTTAGGTTATGCCCTTTGTACATGCTGAAGCGATATGCTATGATGAGTGGAATATGAGTTAGGATCAGTTTGGTCCGTTTCATGGCAAAAACATTTATTGATTTTGTATTAACCCTTCGGGGCTTGCGTGACCCTTATCATAGAACTGGTTTTCAGGACTGGCAGTCTGACCTATTGCCTTGCCAGCATAGGTGTACTTATATAGTTTTGCATGGTTTAGTTGCATAGTAGTGTCCGAATTGCACTGATTCTAGCCCGAGTAGTGTTCGAAAGGGCGCCCTGTTTTGACATACCTCCTGAGCCGGTACTCATTTCCTCTCTGAGCTAGCTAGTGTATATCAGTTTCTTGTTGGTGTTTTGTCTGTGTTTGTTTGTCCGTAGTAGGAATTTACTGTAACTTTGGAGACTGGGCGCAGTAATGTCCCAGAGGGTTTGTAACATCATGGATGCTGACTAAGCTTACCTGATCCTCTCCAACTTGTATTAGTACACTACTTCATTCACACCAGTCATTTCACTACATTAAACTGATTGAGGTTATGCCCTTTGTACATGCTGAAGCGATATGCTATGATGAGTGGAATATGAGTTAAGATCAGTTTGGTCCGTTTCATGGCAAAAACATTTATTGAATCTGTTTTGTAAATTATGAACTCTAAGTTGAGTTATAAAATCATGAACTAACTGTTGCTTCCAACTAAATCTAGTTTGTAATTATATCTAGAACATAATGTCACTGTGGAAGTTGTTTGAAGGGGCCAGGTACTGTGGAGGTGTGTGTGAACACAGTCTCAAAAGATACAAAAGAATAAGAGACAACAGAGATAAGTTGGTGGAACTGGGTTTTATGACACTAGATGAACCACTGGAATGTTACCGGACTAAAGAATGGGAGGAACATACCTCAGCCTACTCACAGTGTAAGTTTAATTTTCATCCGTTAAACAAATAATGAACTAACAATTAATGAACCTCTCAACCTCTGAACTTCTGCTCCAACTTCAAATAGTCACTTCAGAAAGGCTACTGTGATAGATCAAATTATTGCCAAATTTTGTGAAATTTGTTTTTGATGACACAGTAGTCTCAAAACTCATTTTTCGTATATATTAACCATTATCTCATATCGCAGATGAAACATTGCTGAATCAGTATGAAGATGGGTTGATAAAACTTGAGGAGGTTGTTAATATTGATCCCAGAAACCCCGCTGAGAGGTACAGCTCAGACAGTGACAAAGACAGTCCTGTAGTCAATAAGAAGAAGAAATCTCCCAACAAAAAGAAGAAGTCCCAGAAAGGGAAACATAAGAATGGAAGAGTTGAGACTAAAAAGATTAAAGTAGAACAACTGGATTGTATGGAATGTGTAAGACAAGTTAATCAGCCTGAAGAAGCTGAAGCTCCAGAAGTAGAGGAACTAGAGATGTTCCTACACTCAGAACCTGAGTCTGTACCAGCATTACAAGATCTACTTGTCAACAAGAATCTAGCTTCTCACCTTGGAGAAGGTCCTGTAGATGTGTGTAAACTGATTGCAGAAAACCCTGAGTTTACACATGAAATATGTGAGGCTAACATAGACTCTCTTATGTCTGATGAGGAGTTCTATAAAATTACTTGTGAGACTTATCCTGGTGGCTGGGAGAAATTCCTGGAGGACATGTTAGTTACATTATATCTTCTTATTTAATTTGATTCAATAGCTTGAATCTTGATCATAATCGTGTTTTAGAACTTTTGCCCGTGTTTCTTTTTGCATAAATATTTGTCAGATTCTCAATGATGTTTTGTTTTTAATTTTGAACTAAACAATGTTATGATATTATATATTTAATGGGTACTACTTTACAGGGAGAATGAAGAGTCCTCAGATGAGGATATAGATAGAATTGAGCTGCCTCCTGACCTCTATAATGAACTTATGTCAGACAAGACTAATGATGTACCTGACGATGATGAGGAACAGTATAAGTTTGGTAGAATAAACAAGGACCAGGCAGATACTTGTCTTGATCGAGCACTTGAGTTGTATGATAACCATCACAACATGACTCAGGACGAGTTAGTTTTTACTTTTGATACTTTGTTGTCTTACACATACAAATTCTATGGCTTCTCGTAACCACTGCATAATATATATTTTGTAATTGTAGTTGATTACATAGTGCTAGTGCATATTAAAGTATTAAAGATTGCTAACATGTTGATTCTTTATCCCGCAGGTATAACGAGAAAGTGAAGGAGGTGCTCAAAGATATGGATAGAATTACTGTTATAGATAATGATGGCGACCATACCAAAGCGAGTACTAACAAAAGTAACATCCTACAAAGCAAAGAATATGCCACAACAACACCTGAACCGAATGACAACTTACCCTCTTGTAGCAGTACACACAACGATACTGAACGTAGTGACATGGTAACTCCAGATAAAAGAAGCAGCAGTTATCATAAGAGTGAAACAGACAATGTGAGAATTGATAACACATCTGGTGTAACAACAGAGTCTAATACCAGCTCCAGCTCTGTAACACAAACAAAGAAACTCCCCACCATACTTAGTAACAGAGAAGTGTACGAGAATATTGACAATATTCCCCGTCCTTCTTATTGGTTACCTGAGACAGAACCTGACCCTGAGAAGAAAGAAGAAGAGATAGATGATTTTGAGTATCTAGGAATGTTGGATGATGGTTATCTACTGAGCTTGTTTGACGAAGATAAAGAAACAGAAGAGATGTCAAACACTGCACAGACACACATTAGTGTTCCAACAGAAATGACTGCTGAGAGAGATAACATTCAGGAAGAATTGTCCAAGACAGAACTTGAAGCAGGTGCAGGAAAAGCTTCTAAAAATAGACGTAGTAATCCTCCTAGAGTTGCTAAAGAGGGGGTTACATACCGTGATGATAACGATAATCTGGAGGAGGTGTTACAGTCTGAATATTGTGAGTTACAATGTAGACGGGAGTTTACTTAAATTTGTTTATCAATACTATATGCTATTTTTTGTTATGTAACAGCAACTAAAATTCAAGTCTGAATTATAATAATCCGTCAGAATCAGATGTTCAAAAGAATCTTTGCTTAAATTAAATAGTAATGTTACTGTTACTTTTACTGTAATAATTCGGTGGATTCTTTTATGAATGATGTTTTTAATGAAATTCTGTTTTTCAGTTTGCTGGCAGTGTAAAGATTATGTGAGGGGAGAATGTGAACTACATGGTCCTTTACTCCCCTGTTTAGAAGATATCAGCCAACCTGGAACTAAGAAGACTGCAAACTTTCCAGTACCTTGTTGTATCGAAATCAAAGAATCCACAATTCCCAGGGCTGGAGATGGAGCTTTTGCGTCTCAGTTTATTGAACCAGGAAGTATATTGGGTAAGTCACGTGATTTTCTGGGATCAGCTTTTACTTCTTTTTTTGGTGTCCACTGTCCCTTTCTCCAGACAGCAAGTCTATAAACGTTTTGTACCCTAAAGTGGGTTGTTCTGATTTATCTATTTTATCAGGTAACTACAAGGGAAAAGTCATATCAGAAAAGGAGTACAAGAAGTTAGAGTCTTCAGATAAAGAGAGTGGATATGCGTGGCGTGCTGTTAGCCAGGACGGTGATGTTATATACCTAGATGGGGCTAGTCACAGGGCTAGCAACTGGTTACGGTTTCTTAACTGTGCTCGGGGTCAATGTGAAGAGAACGTTCTTGTTAGAAATATCCCAGGTAAAATTGGGTGCACATATGCGCCAGTTTTCTAAGTTGCTATGCGTCATTCTTAGTTCTTACTTATCTTACTTACTTACTCTTACTTACTTAGATTAGCTATGTCAACCTGCAACTTACCATCCTCGGATTATTAAGCTCTATTGTATTACGATGTATTCTGGTGATAAAATACCCTTTTATCATGGAATAATTCTTCTAGGTGGAATACAGTATTATTCGTATAAACCTATTGGGTTGGGAGAAGAATTACTAGTTTTCTACGGAGAGGACTATTTCGAAGAGTTAGGGTATTCGTTGCAGACTGATGTTGAAAATGGTAAGAAAAATTCTATAGTAACAAATAGTCGTAAATTAAATGGTCACATCGAAGATTATCTTTATTTCAAGATATTGCTGAACAATTCCTCACTTTATTTCAGTAATATTTTATTATTACAGGTCAACAATATCATTGCACTGCAACTGGTTGTCTTAAGCTGTTTAAGACACAACAAGAACTGGAGACACACACATGTGGGAAGACTCTGAGATTGTCAGGCAAAGAGAAAGTACACAAGTGTGATGTGTGTGGAAAGATGTTTGCTCGAAGAGCCAATTTAACTATACACATCAGAACAGTACACGATAAGGTAGCGAGACTGAGCTGTCCCTACTGTAAATATAGAACTGATCACCAACAACTTCTTACCCGTCACATGTTAACTCACAATGGGGACAAACAGTACAAATGTACACACTGTGATTATACTGCTGTTCAGAAGCAGCATCTCACTTCTCACATCTACAATAACCACACTAATAAAACATATAAATTATAAGTGTCAATACAAGCAGTGTGGTGTTAAGAAACCTTCTGAACAGGAACTGTATGATCATATCAGTACAGAGCATCCACTACAACAATACAGATGTGATGTGTGTCCTATGTCTTTTATAACAGCAGAACAACTTGGATACCACAGGCAGAGGCGGCTCGTGGGAGCTGGCTGGCAGTTTTGTTGGGGGTCCAATCGATGGACTGGGGGGGAGGGGGGGCTTGGGAGCCGGCTCAAGCTGATCCCTCCAAACTACCGATTACATAACACACAGGGTCTTGTAAATGTAATGTGTAACACTTTACAGGCGACAGCAAACAAAAACAAAAACTTATAACATGGGTGAAACAGGACACCACACGTGTACGATCTCAGCCGCGCAGTATCATATAGCAGTCAAATTGCAAAGGGTCCTGGACCCCCAAATCGAGGCAAATCATAATAGATTACCTGTAGTGGGATGCGCACGATGTGCTTTGTAACGTTTACAATTAACTATGTGTTAAAACTGCGCGGCTGAGTAGTCCAGAGGTAGGATTGGACTCCCTACAACACAAAATTTCACGAAGATCATGCGTGCGCTTACATTAAAACGTATGATAGTAAATGAAGACCTTTATATTGCGATTTGTTATTTCCTAACACTATTACTAATTACTATTTCTATTTTAAGCACCAGCCACCAGATAATAATTTTAAGGCGTCCACGGACGCCTGGACGCCCTCAATAGCCGCCTCTGACCACAGGCGAACACATGATGATCGTGAGCTAGAATCACAATACGAGTGTAAGTACTGTGGAAAACTGTTTTTACAATCACGTTATCTGAAGAAACATGCTCTGATACACACTGGAGAGAGACCACACAAGTGTTTTGTGTGTGGTAAGGGCTTTACTGATAAGGGTAATTTAACTAGACACATGAGGATACACGCAGGTGAGAAACCATATTCCTGTTCTTACTGTGATAGGAGGTTCAATCAAAGTAGTAACAAAAACAAACATGAAATTACTTGCAAGAATAAACCCTGTTGAAGATATTGTTATTGGCAGTTTTGTTTTAGTTTGACGAATTACTTTATACTTATTGAGCTATTTCTTCTTAGTTATTATATAATTCTTGATCTTTTTTTGATTGAGTGATTTTGAAACTAATTGTCTGAAAACTTGAACAAACATTTAACTGTAGAATAATCGTTTTATTGTCTCTTGACATCAAACTTGACTTCCCTTCCCTCATTGATTTAAGGTCAGGTTGTTTTCACTTGGAATTCTTCAGTCACTTTTTTCTATTCTCCGTACGCTATAAACGGTCCGTGTCTGCTGTCCTGAATTTATTGTAAGTTTACGTGACGCGCAATGTGATTACGCTGATCAAATAGTAAAATTTGACCAGCAACCTTGACATAAAAGCGCGGCTCAGTAAAATTTCATCTGCGCGTTCTTGATCTTCCTGCTTTTTCAACGCGTGAATTTATAGGTTTATTGTTTATACTTTATAACGGATAACGTCATAACCTACCGTGTCGTAACCGGGTCTTACTACTGGACAGATATATTCACGGGTATCACTCCTGAAAGGGAAACGAATAATAGATTCCGAAATTAACCTGGTATGGTGAGCAAATTTGTATTCATATATACGTATGAGCCCTTTGGCTAGAGAATACTTTCTTGAATATTTTCGATAGTTTTTAATATTGGTAATATTAATGAATTGTAATTGATTGATATGTAATATTTAGGCCCGTGGCCAGTTTTCAAATTCATATATACGTAACGTGATTGTAGCGCGATGCACTACTAGGTCGCGCCGCGCATCAAATAATTCTTCTCGCAACCAGTAGATCGGCGAGATGCACCACTGTGCCTCACCGAGCTGCGAAGGATTGACATCGTGAATCAAGAAAAAGTGTGAGACAGTCTCCTCTTCGTCGCCGCATTTAGGTTAACGGGTGACACTCGTAAAATATTAGGACCGTCGTTGTAGCGTGATGCGTTACTGTGCCGCGCCGCGCACTCAATGAGGCTTCTCACAGATCAATGAGGCTTCTCACAGATCTCACAATGAGGCTTCTCTAGATCGGCGAGATGCGCTACTGTGCCGCGCCGAGCTGAAATGAATTGACATCGTCAATTAAGACCGTCGACGAGTCCAACTCGGCGCGTGTCCTGGTTGCTACACGTTGTATACCTCTCGTGCACGCGAAGCCGGCCGGCGTGCGCTCAAAAAGGGTTACAGCGTGTGTCAACGTCCTGGTAGGTTGTAAACCTACAACATTTAGGACAAGCACTCATGTGTCTGATTTGCGAATGGTGTGTAGTTACTGGGCCGCGCTCAGCCTGTCATTCCGCCAAATCTTTATTAATGAACATATAAATAGCCTGGGGTCCTCAGGTAAGGTGTTTAGGTGTGTACTTGACCATTGTTAATGATCTGGCCCGGCGCGCGCTACTTCGTAGCTCGTGCCATCGAGAAGAAAGCGGCGCGGGCTACTTCGAAGAAATTTAGACGAGTAACATCCGTCAAGTGTGTACTCGTTTAGTAGGTAGGAATTGTAAAATTGGCTCATTTAATTTTAATTCCTCTTCCCAGCCAACCTTACCGGCCGGGGAATATCTCCAAAAGTAAAATAAATAGAACCTTCCGGTTTTCAACAAAATGTCCGTCTCGTAAATTTAAAGGAGGCTCCCCAGGAGCACAATTGGGGACAACTTAGATTTTGAATTAAACCGAAAAGTTTGATTTTCGGCTAAATTAAAGATCGCAGCTTTTAAACTTTGCAAAGTCATGTCGTTGTCATGACTACTAAACGAAATGCAGCGTGTGAAAGGTAAACTCGATGTGACACGCGACGCCAAACGTGCTGTTGAAAATCGATCACCTCTAGCAAGCCCAGCAGGCGGTAAGGTTTTCTGGGTTCGGGTCCGGGACCCCCTCAAAAGTTCAGTCACTCGTCCTAGTTTGTTTTGCTACACGTTGTATACCTCTCGTGCACGCGAAGCGTGCACGCCGGCCGGCCGCGCGCGCTTCGCGCGCGATCAAAAGGGGTTGCAGCGTGTGTCAAAGTTTGTTGGTCAACTACTATCTCGAAATCAAGTTTCACAAAAAATACCCATTGGCCCCCCCCCCACCTCTTAAGACAACAATAAGACTTCAGACTTCGAATTTGACGGTGTTAAAGACTGCTGTTGTATTAAAGACTCCGGGTTCGAGTTAACCTCATCAATACGCTAGGGAGGGAGCCGCACTAGGGTAATTGATACTGGATGCTCATTGCTCACACGTACTAGCAACTAGGGCGATGATTAATGCTCACGTCTATATAGTTATACTTTATTGGTTAAGATTTACTTAGAACTGTAACCTTGAGGTTAGTTAGTATTTGTGACATCATTTAATTACTTATACTTGAATCTAAGCCATGAGCCGGCCAAACGGCTATTCCTAAGGCTCAGGGTTACAAAATAAAGACACTAATATTGTTGGTTAAAGTAACCCGTAGGATAAATACGGTAGACACTCTTAGTTACAGATAGAGTGGACTACAATGAATAATATATATCAATATCTTTCCTAACTACTAACTAACTTATACTAACTTTCCTAACTTATAACTAATAGTAGAGGCTCTTACGGGCAAAAAGACGTGTTTTCTGCTACGAGTTTAGAGACCTAACCGCTAATTGGACACAATAGTATGATGTCTAAGGATCGATAATATGTTAAGAAGTATAAATTTGGCCTTATTAGTCACGTGCTATACCAATGCGCGTTTTAAACTTTGACAGTCTATTACTCTAAGGCAAATAAAGTAATTATATCCATATTTTGTCAGCAATAAGATCACATTATTTTCTATTTAGTGTGAAAATATGAGCTAGAACGGACATAATCTCGCTGAGTTATAGCTGTTTGAAATTTATGATGAACGCGCGGGTGCCAATTGATAACAACTAAATGCTTTTGCGCGTAGTGCGCGTCGAAAATTTGGCAAAAACGCTTGCGGAGTGACAATATTCAAACTTCGATTAAGTATATGAAGTGGGTACTTCTCGGAAAGGAAAAATTTAGGCAAACACGATGTGACTATTTTTGGGTTGATTTAATACAACTGCAAAAAATTATTCAAACTTAAAGCAAAAAAGTCAAAATTTTTACCACTTTTTTGGATTTTTACCTCAGAACAAATAGAGGGATTTGTTTTATTTTTATACAATCTTGTGCGGCTGTCTTTTAGCTATCTTTATGCAAGTTTTGCCGACATGCCAACAAAATTAACTTGCTCAAAATATCAAAAAACATGGTTTTTTGGCCTATTTTTGGCCCAAAAATCGGTTTTTTGCGATTTTACCCCAGAACAATCAGTCCAATCATCTTGAAACCACTTTCAATCGATTCTACGGTCAAAAATACGTCTAGTAAGGTGTATCTGGGGTCCCTAACGTATCGAGCAGACAATGCCCGTAAGAGCCTCTACTATAAGGTTATATATCAGTCACTCATATGAGAGCTGGCAATACACATCGGGATTGCAATTGTGGTGCTGAACTCTGCCATATTCTTTGCATCAAGAGATATATATAGTCGCGTGGGTGATCATGTGACCCACGTGCTTGAATGATCATGTGACAATGATTTCATGTACTTGAAGCGACTGACAAGGTACGTGATAAATTGATAGTGGTAATATCTTGCAGCTCTCCGCGTCGAAGAACCTGCTCGATCGCCTGTACCAGGGCTGTCAATGTCCGTGAGGTAGTTGAGCCGCTTCAGTTGTGATTAGAAGATAAGGATAAGATTTGATTTTGATAGTTACTTAGTAACAGCCGTTACCAGCTGTCACCCGATGGTAGAACTATAGGGTGCATTTATAGGGTGCATTTGTAGGGGCTATAGTGAGCGAGAAGCTATACATGTGTGAGGTGATAACCAATTTCAATAAGTATGGTTGAGTGCACTAATGTTCACTTGTCACGCCGTGTTGCATTTTAAAGAGCTTGACGGACCGCCCCATTGGAAGAGCTCCTATGCGGGCAAGAGATAATGTCTAGATGACACATTTACTATCTTGTGGGTGACCTGACAACTATGGATGAATCCGTGTGGCATGTCATGTAATGTTGATACCGTAATCTTTCAGCAGAGTTCACCAACGTACTCAAGATAAAAGTTAAACTTAGTTATGGTAAATAAGGAATATAAATGAAGGTCCTTAAATCGCCTCGACTCAGGGATATCACCCATACCATTACACTACAACTGGTGAATAATAATAAGAACTAAATGAAATCCACCATGTTCGCCTTGACACAGCGAAACCCATCTATAACAGACGGTCAGCAGTAGGGGGATATCAATAATGATAATGGAGGGAACATTAGCGATATATATAATAATGAGAATACGCTTTAATGAAGATTTGACTTATTATTGCTTAGATTTATTTTCCTTTAAATAGTCTTTTTTTTTTTCTATTTCTGAGTAATATCAATGACTGTAAATTAAATTAACTTTTACTGGGCCGCGCTCAGCCTGTCATTCCGCCAAATCTCTATGATAGCCTGAGGTCCCCAGGTAAAATAACTTTTTTAACAAGTAACAAAAAACACCGGTGGACAGGACGGCCACCGGTGCGGTACGTAAATTCATGACGTGATAATTTGGCGGGTTTTGGGAAAGTCCGTCATATTTTTCCCGGTCATTAATTTTCCCAGTCATAAATTAACCCGCTATAATATTCCCGAGTAAGGTATAATACTTTGTCGGGGGCTCGACCTGATCTATGATTAGGCGGTGCACGATAAAAATAAACTTGCTCGGATTTTCAAGATTTTTGTACCATCGTTTTCTAGAGACTGTGAGAATTTTCACAGTACCAAATTTATTATACCTTTTTGGAATGATCAGTGAGTTTCGCCTAGGTGCCATATTTGATAGTGCGCGGCTTTTGGAGCAAAATTAGGTGTAAAAGTCGCGTAATTTGACGAAATTCGTTGATTTTTGTCGTATTATTCTGTCATATCTTCGGTTCCTGAACATGAATCTTGATTGACGATGTCAATCCGTCGAGATCGTTGCTCTGCGAAGTAGAGCAACGGACAACGATCGTCGACGCGAAGCAAGAATGCTAGTTTGCGCGGCGCGTCGAAGTCCTCCAACATGAATCATGCTGAAAATTTGTCAGAACCTTCCAATCATACTTAACTACCGAACCTAATTTAGTTGGGAGAGATTGGCCTTGATTAAGAGGTCTAAAAATGACAAAATAGGTATAAATTCGTTGATAACTCAAATTCTGAGCATCGAAATTGCTCAAACTAAATTAGGTTCAGTAGAACTTAAGTGTTTACGTAAGCTGACCAAATTTCAGCAAAATTGTTATATGGGAAGTATTATAACTTTTCGATTGTTTCCAAAATAATGTGCTGGCCGAAATAAGAGCTTAAAAACCATCCAATGGTTAGCGCGCGCGTCTTATTGTCAATGGCGCACTGCCTACTATGATCTTTGATCGGATACATGCTTGCGCCAGGGTGGCCTGGTATAAAATATAATAAATCAGTACGTGCGCGCTTTCGCCATCACATTATGATATCCCGCGCCATCCAGCAAGTTAAGTTGCAGAGGGTGTATAATTCTAGTTTTCGTGTCGGCCCTGTACTGGCCCCATCTTGTGATCAAGCTGTTACCAGTATTGTTCTACTTTATTCTAACTACAAGAAAGTCTGGTTGAATAGTTCTGTTCAGATCAGTGAGAGTAGAAAGCTAAGGCTGTACGAAGCTCTTGTCACTTCAGTGTTGTTGTATAATTGTAGCAGCTGGGCTGCCCCTGAAACCGTAATGGCATATGTCGACGTTCTTCAAAGGAAGCATCTGAGACAGATAATCAACACCTATTGGCCTACGGTTATCAGTAACGAGAATTTATATAAGAGATGTAATGTCAGACCCCTCACTGAAAGGATCAAGAAAGCAAGATGGAAGATGCTTGGACACGTTCTCAGAAGCGGTGATGACACTCCCGCCTTCTTATCTTTCAGATTTGCATGTTTAGGATGTTTTGACTACAAAGGAAGGAGGGGCAGACCTCGTTCAAATTTATTTGATTTATTATTAAAAGACATTATGACGAAGAACATTATTGTGATTGTAAATAAAAGATTTAGTTTAAGTAATTTCAACGATTTAGTGTACAAAGCTCATGATAGACGTTTATGGAGAAGCTATGGGTGAGTCGAGACTACTCGGCCACTCGATATTATGAATTATTTTCTATTATCTTGTGTTTGCTGTATATAGTTGATTAATACTAATAATAATTCTAACTTGTATTATTATTAACAAATAAGTCAACTATTGGGAATGCATTGCCTGCGCCTCTTCGCTGGTCATACGTAAACGAAACCTTAAAACTGCGACACAACCGAATAATATGAAATTGACATGTTATTTGATAACTTGCACGGTCCAATTAATGTACATACAAGATGCGTTATTAGGAATCGCGTTATAAAGTTCAGTGGAAACTGATCGATATTATCTTAACGGGAGTATTTTTACGTTTCAAAATAGTATTTATAGACTGTCTGAAATTACTCTTAGTAATCAATATTACATTATCCCAAACTCGAATTACTGCTTCTATTCTGTCTCCAAGTATGTCATAAGAAAGTACATGATAAGATGGCAATGACACCAGAAACACAAAACATTGTGCAGACTCTGTCAAATATAAAGTTCAGAATTAGAAATCACATAACACGCTCACTAGATCACATTTCCTCTGTCAATATAATTGGCGCTACTGCTACTGCAGCTACTATCAATAACAGTAGCTTGACAAATGTCGTCAATCTTGTCATGAACAACACTCAGCTCGCTCTCCATGTTTGACACTTGAGTTTCCATTTTCCTAACTTTGTGCTCAATACCCCTAACCACGCTCAACTCAGCTCTCAGCTCCTCAACTCCCTGTCCCATGAGCTTTAACGCAGTCATTATCTCCAGATAACCGTGAGGAGTTGGCAGGTGCTGGGGGAAGGAGCCATTGTTTATAGAGGCAGATAGTCTCAAGTTGGGGGAGTCTCCGTTCTCTGCTTCTTCAGCTGGTGCGCTGTGTCGCTCTGTGGTGCTGACAGGGTTAGCAGTCGTGCGGGGGCTGGTGTTGTCATGGTTACTAGTGGTGTTGTCATGGTTACTAGTGGTGTTGTCATGGTTACTAGTGGTGTTGTCATGGTTACTAGTGTGGTTGTCATGGTTACGAGTGTGGTTGTCATGGTTACTAGTGGTGTTGTCATGGTTACGAGTGTGGTAGTCTTGGTTACGAGTGTGGTTGTCATGGAGACTGTCATGTTTGTCACGGCTTTCTCCCCCGCTTGTGTACTCCTCCCAATCATCCCAGAAGGGACCGGAGGATCCCGCACTTCCAGCGCTATTAGCGCTATCTGCACCGGGTTTACAGCGCTTGTGAGTTGTTTCCTCAGAGGGTGTGATGTACATGGGAGAAGGGGTTGACTGGCCGGACCCCAACAAAAGAGAACACTTGTCCCTCTGTTTGTCACTGTTGTAGTTAATACGTATTGGTGTCCTAAGTTGCGTTAGTCCGTCAGTCGTCGTTACGTCCTGGATAAACACGTGTTAGTTGTATTAATGTCACGTGTCATTTTACTAATGTCACGTGTCATTTGTATTAATGTCACGTGTCATTTGTATTAATGTCACGTGTCATTTTACTAATGTCACGTGTCATTTTACTAATGTCACGTGTCATTTGTATTAATGCCACGTGTAATTTGTATTATTGTCACGTGTCATTTGTATTAATGTCACGTGTCATTTTACTAATGTCACGTGTCATTTGTATTAATGTCACGTGTCATCTTACTATATATAAAGCGAGACGATATATATATGTGTATATATCCGTGCCATTTTACTGACACCACGGCATCAACTTTAACGCGACTTTCCGCAAAAACCGTAAAAGATATGTAAGCAGTGATTAATTGAGAGGAATTTATGGTAATATTGTGTAATATGTAGATAGTGTAATGCAATGATTATAATAAGGCGGTCGTGGGGTCCAGTATGTGACGTAGTATTTTGGGCATATATTAGTAGACGACAGTTATTGCAGTTTATGTGCAGAGAGGTCAGTTTAACATATGTTTGAGTCAGTACGAGGTTGAATTACGGATTGTTTACAGAATACTAGTGATACTATGTTGTGGCTATCGACAGGACAGTTTGCAATTCCCGGGAAATGGTAGATTGTTTAGACTATCAGAGCCCGGGAGGAAAATAGTGTTAGTTTTTGGAGATAGCAGAGTGCCAGTTTACCCGATCGAGAGGGGGGTCATTTTGATACCGGGCAGGTTCTGTAGCTAGAACCTGTTAAGGTTAGGTCGTTTAGTTAGGTAGATGGCTATAGTGGTAAGTATAATATTGGCGGCCGTAGAATAGTGGAGCATTACGTAGTTACTATTATCAGGCTTGGTTGTGGCCGGGGTCAACAATGGTTGGTCCGACACCAGGGGATGTCTTGACAACACTGGGCTCTGGCAGAGCGAGAGTCAGCAATGGTTGACTCAGATAGGTAAAGCTAGACTAAGAGTAAGAGCCCGGGAGAAATAGTCAGCGCTGGTTGACTTAGATAGATAAAGCTAGACTAAGAATAAGAGCCCGGGAGGAATAGACAGCAATGGTTGACTCAGATAGGTAAAGCTAGATTAAGGGTAGTATTAACGGCAGGAAGTGTGTTGCGTAATATTTGAGGCAATATGAGTCTAAGTGACTAAGCGTTGGTTGAGCAAATAGTCGATTATTCATTGTTCAGTTAAGTACCTTGGGCACCTTTATTATACCCCTTGTTTGCATTCTCACCCTATTCGATAGAGGGTCATGGTTGATACCGGACTAGTGTAAGGGGCCAGGACCAGTTATGGTTGGGGCCTGGTGAGCACGGATGGAACGTGTCGTTAGAGGTTTAGAATCGGCAGTGGTTGTTTCAGGGCACCTAGATTAGGCACGGTCAAGGCGAGTTGACCGTGCTATCCGTGTTTTATGTTGCAGCACTAGATCGCTGGGCGTTTATGTATTGTTTCATAGTTTAACTTTGTTTACCCTTTATTATCACGCTCGTTTCCATTGTCCAAACCCTTAATTAAATGCAAATAAACTTCGAACCGGGAAGCAAGTGTCCACTGCTTACAAATGGCGCGAACGGTAGGATCCTATTTTATTATAGGATAGTTTGTTTTGTATTTTAATTAAGGTAATGGAGACTATTTAGTGTGTGAGAGTGAGTCGACAGAGGTCAGGAGTATTTGTAAATATGTACGTAAACGTAATATTATACAGTGTTGTCAGTTACCATTGTTAGACTAGTGCAGTGCAAAAGCAGTAAAGGAATGCTCGGTGAAGTGTAGAGTTTAAATGGTATTTTTGGGGTTTCTTTCATCATGGAGGGGAAAGGGGGTTAGATACCGGAGAGGCACAGGTTAGGAGGGGTTATTTTGAGGAGTATATGTCCGTCCGTTGAGGGATTGGTTCGAGAGAGTGTTTTGATGAGTTGATTCAAGGATAACCGGGTCTTATTTTAAGTTTTAAGACGGCAGACTTGACATACTTTCAGCCACCAGAGCCTCAGTGGGAGTGGCTGCCTGCTGAACCGTTCTGTAGTGTGTCAGACTTGTTTTCGTTTTGTAGCGCTACGTATTGTGATATCATGAAAGAGATAGAGGAAGAGATAGAGGAAGAGATAGAGGAAGAGATAGAGGAAGAGATAGAGGAAGAGATATTATATAAATAAGACCCGGGTGATGCTAGCATTGGAGGTTGAGGAGAGGTTATTCGAAGAGTGGTGACGTCACTTGTAGGGAATTAGAGCGGTGTATTAATTTGAAAACTTGGAACGTTTTGAAGGGGTTTTTTTTTGAAATTTGAGGGGTGCCGGGGCATGGTATTTTCTATGATGAAAGAAATTAGGACTACTTTTCTGTGAAGAGAGTGTTGAATTGACTGTCCGAATATTTGAATATGAGGAACTGACGGAGATTAAGTCATGGAGTGACGGTGTGAGACACTGATTTATCAATTAGAGTAAAAGCCGAGCAAAAGAGAGCTGATAAGCGAGAGCTTTAATTATTACATTTGACCTGTACACTGGTTATTTTAATTATTACATTTTAATTCGTACACTGTTAAAGAGCGGGATAATATTTGCATCGTAATTAGTACATTGTTGAAGAGAGAGACAGTGTTTGTATTGTAAGTAGTACAGTGTTGAAGAGAGAGACAGTGTTTGTATTTTAATTAGTACACTGTTGAAGAGAGAGACAGTGTTTGTATTTTATTCTAATACTTTCAACACTACTATATAACAAATAATTTGAGTCAGGGAAGCGGCACTGAGAGAGGAACTGTTGAAGAGAGAGACAGTGTTTGTATTTTAATTAGTACATTATTGAAGAGAGAGACAGTGTTTGTATTTTAATTAGTACACTGTTGAAGAGAGAGACAGTGTTTGTATTTTATTTTAATACTTTCAACACTACTATATAACAAATAATTTGAGTCAGGGAAGCGGCACTGAGAGAGGAACTGTTGAAGAGAGAGAGACAGTGTTTGTATTGTATTTTAATACTTTCAACACTACTATATAACAAATAATTTGAGTCAGGGAAGCGGCACTGAGAGAGGAATTGGCAGAGATAAAGATAGCTAATGAGGTAATGATGAGAGCGCGGCATGGCAGGAGGCTGAGCTAGCAAACGAGAGAGGAATTGGCAGAGATAAAGATAGCTAATGAGGTAATGATGAGAGCGCGGCAGGAGGCTCAGCTAGCAAACGAAGAGTTAAGGACTCAATATGATGAATTGAGGCAGCAGGGAGCACAGCTAAGAAGAGATGGATTCAGAGAGGGTAAGCTAGAAGCTAGGCAGGAGAAGGAGACCGAAAAGAGGAGAATCAGAGAAGCGAACAGAGCAGCGGGTAAGAAATACCCATTAATGAAACCTCGGATGTTTGTGCTGGGGAAACACAGCTTTAGAACCTTCCTGAGCGGGTTTAAAATATTTGCCAATGCTGCGGACATCTTGGATGAAGACTTGGTGGACTTGATAATGACGTACTTGGACCCCAAGGCACAGAGGAGAGTGGAGACCCTACGATCAACCCGGGACGAGAAGAGAAATGTAGAGGCGAGTTTGGAGAGGAGGACAGAGGTGCTATGTGATGTGCATTCAAAGGCGGGTGCAGGAAGAGACTTCTTGAGATGCGTCAGAAAGAGGAAGAGACAATTTCGGATTTTGCAGCTAGAGTCACTGACATGGCAGATGAGGCATATGCACCGGAGGAGGAGGAGATCAAGAAGACCATCAGGCTAGATGTATTTACAGCTGGGGTATTAAAGGATGAAATCGGGATCGAGTTAATCAAGTCACGAGTGCAAGATTTTGAGGCCGCGCTAAAGAGGGCAGTTAAGTTGGATGGGATCCTGGCTAGTCGTAGCCCTAAAACCAGGGAAGAATGAGGAGGAACTTTTGTTTCAAATCGAGGAGGATATAGAGATGGATGAGGGAGTGATGAACCGAGTGATGGAAGAGAACCGGCCGAGAAGAGACATCGGTGCTTGTTACACCTGTGGACAGCATGGACATTTAACAAGGTGTTGATTGACACTGGGACAACCAGTAATGTGTATGGTGATGTTTGGTTGAACACATTCTTAGAGTCAATGCCTGAAGAGTTGAAGAAAAAGGTCAGCGAAGTCGAGAGAAACTTGAGTTTTCGTTTTGGAGACGGAAGCGCGGTTGAATCTATTAAATGTGTCATGTTACCCGTCAAGTTGTGTAACAGAGATTTCATGTTAGAAACATTTGTGGAGCCAGGAGAATTACCCTTTTTGTTTTCTAGATGTAGCATGAAGCAACTGGGGGTATCATTAGACATAGAGAATGATCAGATTATGATTGGCGGAGAACGGTAACAACTGAAAGTGACCAAATCAGGTCATTATGTGGCAGATATCATGTTATGGGAAAATATGAAATCAGAGAAATATACCATTGAACAAACTGGTAGGGAAGAGAGTGTAAGGAAAGAGGAGATTGTTGATAGTGAT